CATCAAGAAAACATACAAAATAGAATATGAAGATCTGAGGAAAAATGAACAGGAATATACCTCCCCCCTTACTCTGCCTCCTCTCGTAACGTGCAGGTGGGCAGCTCGCGCTCAACCACAATCAATGCGGCGAGCCTTGTACGCAAGAGGCAGAGCAAAAGGGGAGCGGCAAGAACAAATAAAAGGGGTACCCCGAAGAAAGCCAAAGTATAGATAGTCAAGAAAGGGATATATAACTGATCTGTTCCGCTCCTTCTTGCTTGCTATAGAAGTAAAACTGTAAGGCATATAACGTGTCTGTTCTGTCTCATGTTGCTTGCTATAGAGGTAAAACTGTTTTATTGTTGGATCTCTAAGGGCTATAACGGATCTGCTCTGTCTCCTGTTGCTTGCTATAGAGGTAGAACTGTTTTATCGTTGGATGGGCTCATCTTTAGTGAGCTTCATATCTGCAATAGATGTAAAGCTGCTTCGATTTTGGATCTCCTCATCTGGGTGGAACAGGGACTGGCGTGGTGACAATCTACAGCACTGTCCTCACTCAATCACATTTCTTACATCCTCCTTTGATTACATCTCTCTAATACTGCGTGGGTCGATTCGGTGAGTGTCTTTGGTGGCAGTCTTTCTGTTCCTTGCTTTGGCGTTAATTGACGTAGCTTTATGGACGTTTGCATCCTCTGCGTGTGCTTGGTGTTTTTTGGATGGAAACTCAGGAAGCTGGACAACAATTCATTTACCGGAAAGGTGCCAGATGGGCTGACGAACGGCAACAGAAGTGTGACGTAAGTTTTTTCTTTGACGTTATTCCAACAATGTCATGCCAAATGGGGTACAGCAAGAAGGGGACAGATTAAGTGGCAGACAATTTACTAGGCACTGGAGATTCATTTTTTCAACCTAATAGTCGCATTGAAAACAGTTTAAGAAACCCATGCCAGAAAGGGACAGATTAAGTGGCGGGTGCATAAAGCGGCGGGCAGATAAAGTGGTGGACAGATTAAAGGACAATCATGTTCAGGAAATCTTGACCTACGCTTTATGAGACCATGCCATTTGGGGAATTGATCCCGTCCATAAAATACAGTTCACCTCGCTGACCACCAACATACAAATGGAGTGGAGCATTGTGAGGGTATTAACCTCCCGGTGGGAGGGGGGGGGGGAGGGGGGGAAGAGAGGTCAATGCCTTAAAAAAAAACAACGAAAAAGGTCATGACCCCAGTGGTAGAAAACGGCTCAAGCCCAGACTCACACCAAGACTTTCCACAGCATACCTGGCGAACATCGCGACCAAATTGAGTAGTAGGAAATGTCTTAGTCTGACTCTGCTTACTTAAATCAAATGCTTGAAGGGTCAAAGAGGTGGGTCTGCTTACGTAAATCAAACGCCGGAAAGGGTCAAAGAGGTGGGTCTGCTTACGTAAATCAAACGCCTGAAGGGTCAAAGAGGTGGGTCTGCTTACGTAAATCAAACGCCTGAAGGGTCAAAGAGGTGGGTCTGCTTATTTAAATCAAACGCCTGAAGGGTCAAAGAGGTGGGTCTATGCCATTCCTTTCTCCGGTTAGAAAGATGACTTCCTTTCTTAACGGTAAAGAAAGTGTTAGAAACCCCCCAAAAAAATCCAAACAAAGCGAACACATATCAAAAAGGGTCAACGTTGTAGCGATGGGAGGACATGGGGGATAGTGGGAGGCATCTGTGATGGGACAATCAGGTTAGAATCAGCAGTGCCAGTAAGTGGAGTTGTGTTTTCCTGCATTTTCGTTTTTGTTACGTGGATCCCGTGTTTCGTCGTTGGGCATTGAGAGTGTAACACTGACTCCAGAGACACGCTAACGGAAACATACGAAGGGGCTCCTCTCCTGTGGAGTTGACTCGTACGGGTGGAAGGTTAACCATGCTATCCATGATAGATCAGAGCTGTGGTTAGAGGGCTGCATTCTTGTTTTTTCACCCCCCTGTTCCTCCTTAGGATACATGAGGGAGAGGCTGGGATGATGGCTGATCGTTGACTGATTAGCCTTGATAATTTTTGTTTGTTGGATGGACAGGGGTATGGACAGCCCCAGAGCATTAGAATTGCGAATGTAACAAATCTAAAATATGGGCCGTAGGGACGATAAGAAAAGGCAGATCCCGTAGAAGCTCCGCACGAGACTCTACCGACCAGGCGACCCCAACGCCCAACCCATACCGGTCTCCGATCTTGAAAGCACGGCGACGAATGTTGCCAAGCAAACAGGGCACAGGAGAAAACAAAGAAGACGTTTTGAGACGACCTCTATTCTGCAACCGATGGATCAAAGACCCCAAGGGCACTCCCTGGTCGCTGCGATCGAAGGATCGAAGATGGCTATCCTGGGTCGAGAAAGGCACGTGGCACAGGTAAAACACCTGTGGGCAGAGGTACGGGCCGAATGGCGCACTGAACAAGAACTGCGCTCCACGCTAAAAGGGTGCCACTCCCTCTAAAGCAAATCCAAAAGAGCATCCCACCACAATGGCTTCTCCTTCTGAAAGACGACTTCTCCTGGAAATCAGGGGACGGAGGTTTACTCATATCCCAGACCCCGCCCAACAGAGCGTACTGGTTCATATCCGGCACCTCAGCCACCAGCTACCTCGCCAAATTTTACTCCTATCCCGTCGCCACCCACAACTTCCAGGAACTGGCTATCCTCAACAGAGAACCTCAGCTAGAGATGTTCGAATCTTTCCTACTAAGGAAAGTGAGGGTTTCCAAAACCAAACCATGGACAATCTTTCCACCGGACCTCAGCGTTGCAGAGCTCGAATTCGACCCAAAGGAGTGGATCTGGAAAACAAGGCAAGTCCGGGAGAACGAGAACGATACTCGAATACGACATAAAATTCGGGTACAACCTAGGCCTACAAACCACAGACCTGGAACCCAAACTAAAAGACAGACGGGCACAGACACTGACCCTAGCTAGAGCTGACAGTCCGTATATCCATCCCCTGGACAAAATACCTTCCCATCAGACCAACTAGAACTCGTAGCATGCAGTGGGTCCTAGCCCATGCAGCACGTCATGTCAACCAGTGGCTCCACAAAAGAAGAAAATACTCGGAACCTGGTCGGAACTATGAGTATGGTGCAGTGACAGCGTTCCCGAAGACATACCCCATTTTTTCCTCTACTACAGTCAGGCCGTCTGGATCTGGAGCAAAGTCCGAAACCTATGGTCCCTTCTCTTTTCATCCCCCCCCCCCCCCCCCCCCCCCCACATTTCACCCTCAGAATACCCTACTCCTTTCTAACATCCCCGACAGTCTCGAAGGAGGACAAGCGGTCTGGTTTCACATGCTCAGGAAACTATCCCTGTGAGGCATATGGAAAAGGAGATGCACCAAGGCGATCGAGGTGTTATGACCTTGGTTGTCTGACGAATTTTGTTGCCATTCACACACAGACAGTCTCATACACGCCTATACATGCATAAGAGAAGGGGAGAGAGGAGACAGAGTCCAAACTGTACACAGATAAAAATAGGCAGCGGAAGACAATCATGCACAGATGGGGAGAAGTCACACAGTGTTTCTCACTCTCTGACGAAGCTCCCAACAACCAATCACAAGAAAGAACCTGCGAAGATCACAATTGAAATTCACACTGATGATTAACCACTCAACTAATTATCGTAACAGAGTTTGTTCCAGTATCTCGCCACCCTCAGAACTCACACCCCACTCACTATCCTACACCCAGTTAGCATCGCCACATCAGAATAGCCTCCCAGAGGCCAGCGCCAACCACCCTGATGAAGAACAGGTCCTGCGATGAAGTCTTCAGTGCCGATGGACAACTCTGACGAAGGAACAGGCAGCTATGGCTGCCACCACCCACGAGTACACAGTGTAGAGCCTCGATATAGCCCGGCCAGACGCAGATACCCCAGGGGTAGATGCGCTGAGGATGCCCCAGCTACGGCAGACTCAGACTGGGCCGGCTATGGCTGCTGTCAACGGCGAGGTCTCAGGATTCCGCCTGTAGACAGTCACCGCCACCAACTTGCTTGGCTTCTCCAACGCTGCTTCGCGAGAAATGAACTGCCAAAAGTCCTGAATCGATGGGCGTAACCTCCCTACACTATTAAAATCGCTAACGTAACAAATCTGAAATCCGGGCCGTCGTAGGTCCTGCCGGTCCACGGCCCAGATCGACCGAACCATGTAACAAATCTGCCATCTGGGCCGTTGGGTCCTACCAGACCGACGGCCTGGATAGATGCGGTCTTAAGATCTTAGGACCGCGTCGAGATCCACGCCGTCGGTCCGGACCGACAGTTCAGATAGACGCTCCGTGGAGTGCCGTGGGGTACTACTGGGAGTCAAGTGGCGTGGGCTTAGATAGACGCGCCGCAGAGTGCCGTGCAACTACTTTTTGGTGGCGGCACGGGCAAATTCCACGGCGTGGGAAAGATCGACCCCTACACTACTCTTCGACCCCTACGCTACTCTTCGACAACTACGGTACTCTACGCTCGACTTCGACTTTGTGGTGGCACCGGCAAATCCCACGGCGTGGGAAAGATCGATCCCTATGCTACTCTACGCTCGACTTCGACCTTACTACTTCACTTTGCACTGCTGCGCTCGACTTACTGCTCGACTCTACACTACCTCGCTCGACTGCCACTTCACATGTGTCTGGCACACACACACACACACACACACACACACACACACACACACACACACACACACACGCGCACGCACGCACACACACACACACACACACACACACACACACACACACACACACACGACATGGTGAACCCTTATCCATCAGCCGAATTCATCCCGGGCAGACTGTCGGGGTTCAACCTCCTGACGAGTCGGTGGAAGTCCGACGAAACAGTCTGGCTTAATTGTGTTTTTTTTATGGAGTTGTGTATAGCGAACATAACGACACACACACATACACAAACACACCACAGAGAGAGAGAGAGAGAGAGAGAGAGAGAGAGAGAGA